TGAGGTGTGTATTAATACCGAATAGAAAAGTGATTGTATATGCTTCTCGGTAACTCTGACCACACGAGAAGAATTATCCGACCCATGATCTTGAACTAGCCGCCGTGGTGTTTGCTTTGAAAATTTGGCAACACTATTTGTATAGAGTGACTTGTGAGGTGTACATTAGTCACAAAACTTTAAAATATTTCTTCACTTGGAAAGAATTGAATATGAGACAGAGACGATGGCTTGAGTTGATAAAAGATTATGACTTGCAGATTCTGTACCATCCGGGAAAGGCAAATACTGCTACAGATGCTTTGAGCTGAAAGTCTATTGGGAATTTGTCATGTTTGCTCACTGGCCAGAAAGAATTGCTATGTGATCTGGAAAAAAAATGAAATTGAAGTGGTTTTGCGTGAACAGGGTGGAGTTCTAGCTACCATTTCTGCACGATCGACCATGGTTAAGGAAGTTAAAGAAAAGTAATTACAAGATGAATTTCTGAAAAAATTGTTCATAAGATTGGTTCAAAACAGAGGCTCGAATTTATGGACAAAGACAATGTTCTGAAATATCAAGGAAGGCTTTGTGTACCGGATTGCTCTGAATTAAGAAAGTGTATCATGACTGAAGCTCATAACTCCAAATTTGCTATGCATCTAAGGAACACGAAAATGTACAAAGATTTGAAACAAAACGTCTGGTGGCCTAGCATGAAAAAGTGTATTGTTGATTTTGTGGCTAGATATTTGCATTGCTAGCAATAAAGGCCAAACATCAATGACCCGTTAGACTACTTCAACCGCTTCCAATATCGGAATGGAAATGGGAGCACATTACAATGAACTTTATTATTGGATTGTCTCGCTCCTCCCGAGGTATGGATTCTATCTGGGTCATTGTTGATTGTTTAACTAAGTCTGCTCACTTTTTGCATGTTAAAACCTTTTACAATGCGGATAAATTGGCTAACATCTATGTGAACGAAATTGTGAGACTGAATGGAGTACTTGTATCTATTGTGTCTGACAGGGATCCCAAATTCACTTCAAGATTTTGGCAAAGTTTGCAACAGGCCTTGGGAATTGAATTGAGGCCGAGTAGTGCTTATTACCCACAGATAGATGGCCAATCTGAACGAACCATTCAAACCTTGGAAGATATGCTTAAAATGTGTGTGTTAGATTTCCAAGGAAATTGGGAAACCTATTTGCCATTGGTTGAATTTGTGTACAACAACAGTTATCATTCAAGCATCGGTATGGCTCCTTATGAAGCTTTGTATGGTAGAAAATATCGTTCTCTGATCTATTGGACCGAGGTTGGTGACAGACCTTTGTTTGGACCGGAAGTTATGCAAGAAACGATTGAAAATGTGAAATTGATTCAAAAAAGATTGAAAACTATACAAAGCCGCCAAAAGAGTTATGCGGATGTCCGAAGAATAGATAGAGAATATAAAGTCAAGGATCACGTGTTTATCAAAGTAACTCCGATGAAAGGCCAAACGCAGTTTGGTGTAAAGGGCAAGTTGGCACCAAGGTACATTGGGCCGTATGAAATTCTTGAGAAAATCAATCTAGTAACATATCAAGTGGCTTTACCTCCGATTATGGAGCAAATGCGTAATGTTTTCCACGTTTCAATGCTCCAAGATTATTTGAGGGATCTATTATATGTTATTGAGCCAACTCATGTGCTATTGAAAGATGATTTCACCTATGAAGAATGACCAATGCAAATTGTGAACCGTTGGATCAAAAGATTCAGAAATAAAGAAATTCCATTAGTGAAGGTTGATTGGCAAAACCATGGAGGAACATATGTAACTTGGGAAACCGAGGAAGATATGATGAAAATATATCCATATTTGCTTGTTCTAGATCCGACATTCTTCCAAAACGAAGGTAATTCGAGTTTGAAGGACTAAAGACTGTAACAACCCTGACCTGTGATTAGCTTATAACCTATGATTAAGAATTCCTAATAAGTAACTAAGAAGAAATTCTGAATCAATTACATGTGCATTGCATTATTTGTGTTTATATATGTTTGTTGTAGAAAGATCTATCTGTGTTTTTATTTCTTAATGCGAATTGAAGGCCTTATCGACATCTGATCACGAAATTGACTTGGTTTATGTGTCATTTGGAATTTTTAGAACATTATGATAGGTTCAATGAAATTCGATTCGGAACCAAATAATTAAAATAAAATAATACCAATGGAATAGCCTTAACTCAACTTAATTAACTTATACTAATCAAGCCTATATAAGGCTTACACTACACTCTTTAATCACCTCATCTTCACCATTTTAAGCAACAAAAACATGAGAGAGAGAGAGAGAGAGAGAAAAAAGGGAAGAATTGAGCTTAACTAAGAATCTTGCTAGAGAATTGAGGGAACTTAAAAGAATAGTCAAGGAATTGTTCAACTTTGAGAAGATTAAGCTTTTACACTTGAGAATTCAAAGCTTCAGGTAGGAATTCAATCCTTTAGTTGTGTAGTTGTATCACTTAATGCATGAATTCAAGAGAGTTAGATAATTAAGCCAAGAATTGAGCTTAGGAGGAAGAGTTAGGAAGACAACCATACATGCATGCAAATTCTCTTGCATTTAGAGTTTGATTTTGAAGAATTCTCATATGCATGCAGTGATCATAGCTTGGTTTTGGAAATTCATCAAGTTTCATACAATTTTACCTTGTTTGATCATGTTTTGAAAGGTTGTAGTTCATGTCAATCCATGCATGTTTTGTTTTCTACATTTCAAGTTTGGTTTTATACAATTGGCAAAACTTTTGGGCTTGATCTTGCGAAATGGTTTGTAATTCATCATATACTATGAGTTTCTCAATGTTCTACTAAGTTTTGGCCCAAAAGGATGTGTTTTGAAGTTTTGAAATTGAGTTTTGAACTTGAATCAGCAACCTGAAAATTCCAGAATTTGCACCATCCGTTTGAGTGGTGGAGTCTATGCTCGAGCGGAGAATGCGAGTTGCCAGTACTTTGGCAGAGTTTGGGGGTTGGCTCAAGCAGTAGAATCTGCACGTGAGCGGCCACCCTTATTTTTTACCTTTCGCTCGAGCGACCGAATTTGCTCAAGCGTAAAATGAGAGCTCCCAAAAGTTTTACAGACTTTTGTAGACTACTCGAGCGACCAAAGTTGCGCTCGAGCGGAGACCCTTTTTGCTCAGTCTTTGGCTCGAGCGGCCGTCAAGCATAAAAATCATGCAACCAGTACTTTTGTAAACTTTGCAAACCATTCGAGCAACTGATGTTGCGCTTGAACGGACTGCCTTGCTTTTGAAAATTTGACCAAGTGTTTCAAGTTACATTTTGGCATCCTCATTGCATCTTAGGCATTCTTAAGCCCTAATTAAGACATAGTAATGAGGATAAAGATTAGAAACACACCCAGATAAGAAAGAAATTAAGTAAATGGATTCCGAGCGTATGTTTCCAACGTGTATTCGTTCTATGTTTGTGTAAGTAGCGCGCCATAGGCTTTCTGGATATCTGCTCTGTTTGTCTACTTTATCTACTTTGTCTGTCTGCTATTGGAGCCAACTGTGAGTAAAAACTTTGTAAAGCTATGTTCTATTATAAGTATTTTCTGAATGATATCGATGATCTGTTTTTTGAAATATTATTTTCTGTGTGAATGAATGGTTGTCCATTGTTTTTGAAATGTATTCGTGACATCATTAGCTTCAAATGACATCTGTTATCTGTTCTGTTATGTCCCAATTATGGGCCAACTGTACGTCTTATGAGCCAACTATACCATCTTCGTATACGTAAGTCAACTGTATGCCTTTATGGTCGTCCCTTTATGGGTCAACTGTTTCTGTTAGTGCTAATGGATGTACCACGTACGATTAACTATAAATTCTAATTACGAATATGATTCTGATTCCATTTATGTTATGACTACTGATTTCTGAACAAGAATATGAATCCGCTTCTGATATAATCTAAATTCTGTTTTCTGTATCTGTCATGGACAACATTTATTAAATCCTTTACTCTGTTATTATTCATTGGGCTCCAGCTCATTCTATTATTTATGTATGTAGGTGATCAGGCATGAGACCAGGTTCAGTGATGATCGTCTGGACTTTTGTTTTGTCGGCCAACCTTTGTACCTCCCGAGGAGGTTCTGAAAAGAGTCAAGCGATCGAGTTTTGTGGCTTAAGTTTAAGATTTTGTTTTCTTTTACTAAATCTAAACAAGTTTCTATTTATCTGTATATTGGGATAAGTCCTATTTTGTTTTTATTTGTGTATGTGGGTGACGTAAGACTAATGCAATTATGACGTCACATGGGCATATATAAAGTTTTAAATTTCTGTCTTATGTATGTCTACATAGCTTTATGGATTATGTATGTTTTATATATATGCTTCCTCAACTCCTTATTTTGTGTTAATCTGTCCAGAGGCCTCTGGTAATCCAAGGATTATTAGCTGGTTACGACGCTAAACCTATAGGGACGGGTTTAGGTTGTGACAGAAACCCTACAACCAGTGAGGGCACGTCACTTGTCTTCAATCCTATCTCTTTTGATTCACAAATTTGTATATAAAATGAAAAGCTTCACCCTTGTTGAAGCACGAATAATTTTACTCTTCCTTTCAAAACTCTCTCTCTCTCTCTCTCTCTTGTAATCTCACGTATCTGCTGGTTTGGATCAATAAAAGTATTTTGTAAGTATTTCTTTCACATATACCTGTTGAATTGCTAGCTTATTTAAACGAAATCTTAGAGTTTCATAAACAAAGACATTCTCTATATGTAAGTTTAGTTTCGGATAATTATTTACGTCCATCTGTAATACCAGTACTTGAAGAGTTTGATCAACTGATAGCTCAAATAGAACAGTAGATCCAAGAGGAGATTTGTCGTTTGGCGGCCTTTTTCAGGCCTCCTCCTTAACAATAGAATAGTAAATGAGACCATGTGTGGCAGAATTTGAATTCAGTATATTCATAATATGGGTCGTAGTATTCATGGGCTTTTGCTTGTTAGGGACTGATAAGATTAAGGGTAAGTAGGACGTCACCAAAGTCATGTATGGGGTTTAGGACCATTGTAGCAGTGATTGCGTTTAGGTCTAGGTTCTAGTAAGCCGTTAACAGATGTGCTTATCCTGATCCCTGTGTCAAGCATCCAGTTGGTGTCATAGCCATGTTTATTACAGTTTATGTTAAGATTATACTTTATTTAAATTATACATATATGGTCACCATTAAACATCATGGCTAATAAAACTTCATCAATAACTTCCGTAGCTAATACAGTAGCTTCTATTTCAAAAGCAACAAAACTAATGGCTTGCCAAGATGTTAAGGAAGCCTTAGACAAATGGACAATTCCAACTGTCAAACCAAATACAATTCATAAAATTAGAACTTTTGATTTTACCAATACAAAGTTGATTACAACTTTTGAGCATGCTGCTCCTCTCCAGAATAATGATGAAATAATTAAATTACTTCATATCTAGGGTCTTGCACCCTTTTTTAAAAAATACAAATACATTCATAGAGGACTTGTCCAGATAGCCTTCAAGCCTTTGACCTTGTTAGGCCAGAATACTAGTATCTAGTGTACCCTTAGAGATGGTAGATGTACTAATTGGCAAGCCTCCCTTATGGGGGGCCATTGAAACCAGTTTATCTCATGTACCAGTTTACTTTAATATACATCCAAATTTAAGTGTCACTTTTTGACCCAAATCTTTCATAAGTCCTAGAACTAAGAGTTGTTACTGATGGTTATGAGTATTTACCAGGATCACCTCCTCTAGCAACAATCTTTAGGATTCATTTGAAGGTTTTGACAACCTTAAATCGTTACACCAGAAGGCGTAGTGAAACAGGACATACAATCCTGATAGATACTAACTTGTTTAACTCCCAGGTTGTAGTCCCTAGGATGATAACATGGAATGATATTACCTTTCCAGCAAACTGGCAAATACCAAATGCTGTTCCAGCAAGACCTATTGTATGTAAAACTCTAGATCAGGTCATTCAAACATAAGGAGGTAATGTATATCTCTAATTTCGTCGTCCTTTGACTAGAAGTTTGTCTAGTACTAGCTCTAGATTTACTCCATCATATAGAGTAAATTTACTTGACTCCTCTGGGCAGTCTACTTCTGAACCTCTAAAATCTATTCTCCAAGGAATGCCTTACAGACCACCTAGTAAACCACCACTAGAATCTGTAATTCAGGGAATTCATATTTCTGAAAGCCAAATACCATATGGAGTGTATAATACCAGTAGGCATCTGAAAAAAAAAAAAAAAAACAGTAACAATCCAAGACCTCAAAATGGATATATAATGTTTTGAAAACAGAATTTAAAAATCTCAAATCTTCTAATCAGGAGATTAATTCAGAAATCCTTAAAATCAATAACTAGCTATCTCAATTACTTCAAACGAATAAGGGTATAATTACAAAAGCAACTCCAGAAAGAAGGATGACCAGTATTTACTACTAAGTAACCAAGTCACTTTCTAGAAGTGGTATATCAGAATTACTTTCATTATAAAACCAGACTTTATCATTAGGGATGCTATGTTGAACATTGGCTAGAGCGACCATCGAGCATAGATTCAGACCATCTAGTACTTTTGCAGACCATGTGGTCCGCTCAAGCGACCATCTGTGTACTCGAGTGAAGTGCCTGTTTTAGCATATTTAGAGGAGTCATATTCTGATCACATTCGCATTCTTATTCCTTTCTAAGCATTCTTAGGCATGAATTGAGCTTCCCAAAATAATTAATGAGTAAGAACATGACATAAGATAATTGAATAAGTTAAAATGATTTCATTACGCAACAAGCCTCAAAGTGCGTACATGTTTATGTGATATGTAGGTTCATCCGCAAAGACATGTCCACAACCAAATCACTGTGAGTAATATCTTAGTAAAGACATTTTCATATACAAACTTATGATTTTGTGATATGAATGAGTCTTCTATCTGTCCGATCTACATAATGTCTGTGAATATGATTGACGAGATACGATTGTATATGATGGACAAAAGGTCGTTCTATATATTTAATAAAATGGACCCAAGGTCATTCTGAATATCTGATAAGTTTGAATATCTGATATGTGTTGACCAAATGGCCATTATACAACTGTAAATGAGTGGACCCAAGGTTGTTTCGCCAAGCATGACTTGTCTGTTCTGAACTTCTGATATGTGTTGGACCCAAGGTTGTTCTGGTATGATAAGAATTTTAGTATGAAGTTATTTATGTTAAATATTAGAACTCATTATATAACCTATTTATTCTGATGTTATTTACTGGGCATTTGCTTATTCTGTCATATATATATGTATATAGGTGAGCAGCGAGATGTCTGACCCTAGTGAACCTATGAAAGATTACCCAAGTTCTTGTGAAACCAGCTATGGAGTGCCTCACGGAAAAGGCTTTTGTTTTGTCTTTTGTCTTGATTTTTATTGTTGGCCATCTTTTGTCCTTAAGGAGTTTAAGTTTTGTAAGATCATAAATGATATTTTTGTGTTTAAGACTTGTACTTAAAGTCTAAAATGATTGTATAAACAAGGGGTGTTATATGGTTGTGAGTTATTGACGTATAAAATATTTTTGTTCAGGTCATGTATGCATGGCTCATTGGACAATTTTATTATTTTGCTTTTGCTTCTAGACCCATATAATTAAATATGATCTAAATTTTGTTTAAGGTTGTAGGTAATCTCATGATTACTAGCTGGTTATGATCCAAACCTCTAGGCACTACAACAAAACTGAGTTTTTATGACTTCACATCAACGACATACAGTAAATGTAAGCCGTGATTTCTTATTTTTACGACTTGCTTTTTTTACATGTCGTAAATAATTTGTCAACCATGATGTGTCTATTGCGTAGGTCGTAAATACTAAAAACGATGATTTTTTTACGACTTGCAATGCTAGCAGTAAATAATAAAACTTCTTATGACGTGCATATGACATGTCGTTAATACATCAATTATACACAACACGCGCACACCAACTATTAAAAATATTGAACGTTTCACAGCGCATAAAAAATCAACTATTAAAAATTTCACTTTCCACAATGTACAAAAAGTTAACCGTTTAAAATAATACACTTTTTACGGCGTGCAAATGCTGTTGTGAAAGATATGACTAAAAAAAAAAAATAATAAAGAAGAAAAAAGAGTACCTCCAAGACGAAAAGTTTGAGCGCCAAACACCCCCAATATATATACATATACATATATCAGGTTACATCCTTGATTGTTTCTAACTTTAGCAATCCCTCCTGAACTAGCCCATACTCTCCATTGGCTCTGCCATTCCTTTGGATTTTGCGATGAAAACTTCAAAGCTCTAGGTTTTAGAAAAGGAAATCGGATTGACAATTTTCTCGAGAAAGTGAGGGAAAGAAAGAGGAGATGAAAGGAGAGGGGTGAAGAAGAAGATGTGGGGATTAGGGGGAATGTATTGTTGCGGGAGAAAAGAAGGTGGGAAAGTGGAAGGACTAGTGGTGGTGTTCGTGTGGATGTCGAGTCAGGAGCGGCATTTGAACAACTACGTCCAGCCTACTCCTCGCTCGGCTGGAATTCCCTCTCTTGGACTTCGTCACGATCTAATTTGTTGAGCCGTGGATCGATAGGGCAGGCTAACATTTCTTCTAAGGCTAGTCCGATTGCGAAGCCTAATGATTCACCCTATTACATTGGATTGGATAGGGTTTCGGAAGATTTTTATGATTCGTTGAAGAATCCCAATGGTATCATTCAGCTCGGATTAGTAGAAAATAGGGTATGCTTTTATTTTTCTTTGATTAATTTTCATTGTATTGGTTTTGGGTTTGATTTGATTGTTTTGTGGTTATAACTATCACTGGATTTGATTGTGAAGTGGTTTTCGCAAAATTTCAATGATTCTATACTTAGAGGAGGAGGAGAAGGAGGAGAAAGTGGGGGTTTGAGTATTAGTGGAATTGTGACATACCAACCGTTCCACGAAATGTCGGAACTAAAAGAGGTAAGATGTTTAAATGATTATAATTAATTGAATTTCTGATTTGGTTCTGTGTTTTGATTTGCAACTTTACTTCTTTGAAATGTAACGGTTAAAATGCTCTGTTGGTAGGCATGATTGTTGAAAATATTGGTGTAGACACAAACTAATCAATAGCTTTCTATTTAGTAATATAATGACAAGATTAGATTAGTTTGCTGAACAAGTTTACGGCAAGTCTTCATTCTATAGTACATTTACTACTTACTGTATGAGCTTCCCTTGCCATAAGATCTGTGAAGTGAATGATATGATAAAGTAGCAGGAATAAATTTATATGCCTCTACACCACTACCCAAATAAAATGTTTAACAGTTATTCGGCGAGGGTTGACTTTAAATATAATCTTTTGAATCTCATTATAGATTGATGAAACATTTGATTATGTTAGTTCATCAAAAACTTAGCTGGAAAATTTATTTCGATAGTCAATTACGATTTTATTTTTCTAGCTACACTATTGGAGAATCCAACTTAAATATTCCATAAAAAAGGGATAGTTTTAGTAGTTTTTTTTTTTTTTTTTCATTGAGATGAATTATATATGATCTTTTAGTGTCGTAATTACTTTTGGGTGATCCACACTTATGTAACCCTCACAAAGTTTTGCACTTTGTTGTACCTTTTTCGCCAATTTTCTTTCACTAATCAGCAAGGGAAGAAAAAGAAAGAGCCAACTTCTCTTTTTTGTTGTGGCCTTAATGAAGTTCACTGCTCACCTACACAAACATGCGCCTGTATGCACAAACAGGGAAAGATGAAATGAGTGTTTTTTCAGGCAACTTCTATTTGAACTTTGTTGGATGTCATTTTCTGTTGTCTCAGTGTTTTGTGAGATTGTCCAACAATTTGGGCCAATTATTCTGGGATTTTGGGGACAACCTAAAAAACAAAGACACAAAAGGGCTGCAGTTAAATGAAAAATAGATAAATTGTCTTAACATGAAAAATATTAAAGTTGCAACATGATTATCATTTGAGAAATGCTGTTTATCACTGAATGTATTTCATCAATTTATATTACTGACTGCTTGTATCAATGCAACAAATACCATGCGTGTATGTGGGACCCATTATATTTAAAGGGTAAAATATACTGACATCTCCTAAGGTTTGAAAAAAATACAATAAGCTCCACAGTTTTGACATAATTACACTGACCTCCCTTTTAGTACATGTTAAATGGACCGAAACTAATGCAAATGGTGCAAAAACCCAAAAATAAACGAACTAAAATATACATTTTTGTGTAAAAAATATGGCAATATTGTTTTTTCATCCTTATAACTAACAAATTATTATTTCACTCAATTTAGAAAATATTTGGACCCCCCCATGCCACATTAGAAACCACATAGGAGGTGAATAGTTTTTGTGAAATAATCTAGTGATGTATAAGCAGGCTTGGCATCCCTCTTATTATTTATGTTGATAAATGATATTCATGAATTGTTGTAATCCCCATGAGAGGAAGGAGTAGATAATATAGGTATCATTGGTGGACAAGGAGCTTAGTTTTCTTCGCCATTAATTCACATGAAATATGTAAAGCTAATAGCTTGTGGACTTTGTTAGTGTCTTTGGTTGCCTTTATGTGTTTCTTCTAAGATAGTAATCATAAGTTCACCTTCTTCTGCTTCATTTAGTTAATACTAATAGTAACCTATCCATTTGTGTAAACTTTGGGAGCAACCAAATTGAGGTTTAACTTACCATCTTGAGCAAAAAGGTATTTGACTTATTCACTTTTTTCCTGCTGTGTTTTTTATTCTTTAATTTTTTTGGGTTTTAAATTTGTTGTTTGCGGGTGGAGGATCCAACTTTGTGTGGAAGAAAGAGTGGAGGTCACCATACATTTTTGATACCTATTAATGACAACCATGACTACTTCACCATTGTTTCTCAAACTAACTTGACAAAAAGGGTCTTACAAATGCTTTCTTCTGTAGTCCTGATTTAGGTAGGTAGTTTTTATTTTTATTGGAGTTAGGAAATTAGCTCAAAGGTTGAACTTTTAGCTTTGGATTTGTTAGGAAATCACATTATCATGTTGTTTTTCAAGCAAGACAGTTTTTCCTGAAATTAGCTCAATGGTTGAACTTCTAAATTACCTATGTAGGCAAATGATTACCAAGTTCATGGATCAGGGAGGGCACAAAGGGGTGCTACAGCTCATGCCATGCAGGGGTGGCACGTCCAGTGTCTTATTGGTTATGGTGAAGTTGGTGAGCCTATTATTAAGGTACGTTGGAACTCCATACCTCTAGAGTCATTTCTTTCTCTCTCTTTTTTTTTTGTTTTTTTGTTTTCCTGTAGGAAGCTTGATTTACTCCATGATAGTCCTGCATTTTGTAATTTTTTAAAGAGTTACTTTTATCTTGGATAGGACAAGAACTTCAATAATATGCCGAAGCGTGAAAAAGTCTCAAAAGCATCGGTATGCTCCTCTGCAAGCTATTTTAGGCAGGATCTTAGACTGTTGGTTCCCATTATTCGTTCACAATTTGAATTTTGTTTAATTGTCTCAGGTTCAGTAAAACACAAGAGACCAACAGAGGTTGAGCATTCCGTGAAAGCTGCACGAACCAAAACGTCTAAGCAGTTAAGTTGCACAAATCGAAACAACTAAGCAGTTAATAGAGTCAACTAGAAGAAAGTGATTCATTTAGCCCACCCCAAAAAATTGGGAAAGGGGCATGTTGATTTGATTTTGAGATATTTTATGTTAAATGCATATGCATCTAAATGCATCAAGTCAGTAATAGTAAATTTTGCAATTGATTGCTCAGTCATTGACGTCATGGAAAAAGAGTGTTACTTTTTCTTTTTGATTCTCTTGCTTCCTTCTCTTACAAGTTCAAAGATCACTAGACTATTGCCATTTCTTTTTTGTTCTTGTCTACTTTAAATGGCATGAATATTTGAATATTGGATTCATTAGTGCTTGATAGCCACCAACCTGCTCCCAACCCTCTAACCCCACAAAGATAGAGAAGTTCTGGTTTTGCTTTGGCTATTGCAGATACTGTGTTTTCATTTTATTTATTTTTTGTTTATTTATTTATTTATTTTTTTGCTCAGGGACCCTAACCCAGATAGCGTGTTAATTATGTAGACTTTGGTTTGGGTATTCTCTAGAGGCTTGCTCCAAAACCAGAAGCAAGAACATTGCTTCAGTGGTTCAAGGCTCGTTTCAACTAAGAGCAGAACTTCCTGATCTGTCAAATGATTCAATGTGGATACTAACTTTGAGCCACTCTCTGCTGCAAGGTGTCGTATCTTTAGAAGATGAAACAATAAGGTATAATATATATATATATATTCTTTATATATGGCATTAGATACCATTTTAATGCATCTTGAATGTTTTCCTATGTACCCTTGCGCTTTTTCCTATAATTAAGTTCTTTATTTATTTGTGGTAATTCTTGTCACTTTCTTGCATGTTTTCCTATGTACCCTTGCGATTTTTATTGTCAAGGGCAAGGGTCTCTCTCTCTGTTAGCTAGATTGTAACAGTATATTTAACTAGGACCTGTGTTTCATATATTTCTTCTTACTGTTTTGTAGAATGCTGGAGCATAACCAATATCCCACTGACTAAGGGGGCCAAGCCAATATTCTTTAGACGTGATAGATTCCTTAAACTTAGATGGAGTAATTTCAACATCTCAGTATATGGAGTTTCTTTACGCTTTCAAAGATGCATTTGAACTTGTTTTCCTCAAATTTTTTTATTAAGCAACTTTTGGATAGCTTCCTTATAGGATAAATAAATTTGTAATTTACATGTTCTGTTACTTTCTATAGGAAGTTGAAGATCCAAAGGCTTCTACTATATTTAGGGAACGGCTCAACCACTTACAGGCAATCTATTTTTTCTCTATGAGCTGTTATTGTTGCCTATTTTGTATGACTCTCATTCTACAAGTACTTTTGCATTTTTCAGAAAACAGAACGTTATCTGATTTGTTTTGGTAAATGTTAGAATTTACCATCAACTACCACCTTACGTACTCCACTAAACCTAACCCACTACACCACTACCACCTCACCTACTCCACTAAACCTAACCCACTACACCACTACCACCATCCACTACACCTACATCTATATAAGGAACCATTTGTAATAGACAGAAATCAATCAATATTAATCAATCAATCAATAATAAGATCATCAGATACATTTATTCTCTCTGTATTTTTCTCTTTATACATTGATTTTTGACATGGTATCAGAGCGGGTTTAGAACCCAGTATTTTCACTTCACCGGCAGGCGGCAACCTCACCTTGGCCGCCTGCCGGACCTCAAACTAGTCCGCTAAAATTCTCTACACATACCTTCACTTTCCCCAGTTTCTTCGAACATATTCTCTCTGTATTTTTCTCTTTATACATTGATTTTTAACAGTAAATCTAGGATACATGGATGGGGCCTATTTGCATGTTAAAATATTCAAGAATATTTGGAAAAAGTCTATTACTTTGTATGTGTGTTCCATAATTAGCAATGTGAAAAATCTTTTCTATGTTTAATGCATTCCGCATGATGCATGCAGTTTTATAGACGTAGATATACATTTGGGTTTTGTATTTATTTTGAAATGATACTCTTATGACCCTAATTGTTCTTTCCATTCTCTGAAGCAGTTTCTTCAATATTCTTGGTACCATTTCATGTTAACCATGACCATTATATGACCATGAAAATTATATAACCTTAAATCAAATGGATCTAAGTTAATAATCAAGTAGTCAAGTGAAAAAAGTAACAAAAATTTTCTGAGTAAAAAAAATAATTAAGAAAACTAATCTTATATAAACTTAATAGCAACTCAAATAATAAAAAAATGGCTTAAATGTAAATTTGCTATACATACATATGAACACGTGACCTTTGGCACGAGTCATGGGTTTCTTAAATTTCCCAAAAAATATTTAGGTGGCGACTCTGTATCTGACAAAGCAGTCCATTTTGGTATTTTGATTCAAAATCAACTTTTCAAAAGATTTGTCGGCTTTGGATTTTTTGGTGTTTATCTATTTCACATTGCACTTGTGAGATCAAATTCAGAACCGTAGGAGTTCGATACTGTAGGGCTAGTCGTCTTCCAAAAGGGGCACGAAAAGTCGAGCTACAATTTCTAGAGACTCTGTTAGGGAATTTAGAAAACTTGACTCGAATTTCATGATGTGAAATTTTATCTACACTTGTATGTTCTCTGCATTGCATTTGCATTAGTGTGCTTAAGTCATTGTGTTTGCCATTTGCTATTCCTGGATGGTTTGCCGGAGACTTGCCCAAAAGCTTGCCAAAAGGTTGACTAGTCGTAGGCTTTGCCATGTTGGGAACACAATCCTTGGATCTGGACTATCGCTGTAATGTTTGATCCTCTTTTCACTTTTCGGTGTTAGGTGTGAGAGGTATATTAGGTAATCTTGTCATGGTATCCTTTTTACCAATGGGCTCAGCTGCATATAGTAAAGCTATAGTGACTGTTCCAAACTAGGACAGGATACTCTCCCATTTGCAGGATAACATGATACTGTTTATTTGAATAGTAAAGCCGTAACCACTCCAAAATTAGGACAGGAAAACCTTAAACCTCTCATAGGAGTATTTTGAATGCTTTTGTGCAAAATGTGAACTCTTTGGGAATGTATGATGCAATCCTCGGAGAGTCTTAACATTGAGGCTATTCCTTTCAAACTTGAGGGTCATATCAGAATCAGAATTTTGATCAAAATCCAGGGCTTTGTATTTGATACAGTGGATAAAATATCGGAACCTGAACTAGAGCCAGGGCCAAGAATTGTATCTTACATTGTTTTGACCAGCATATCCGGTATCCCGATCTGATGGAGAATTTTTTTTTTAATGCTAGGTTTGTTTGAGCCAAAAAAGGAGCAGTACCTGCCTTAACCCATCACAGTCCATTCAATCCCAGAAAAAACCCCACTCAGCAAAAGCTCCAGTCCATCTTATCCCCAAAAACCAACTCAAAAAAGATCCAACCAATGCCAAAAGACCCACTCTAAAAAAGCCCAATCCAGTCAAACCCGTCTAGACCAATCCAGTTCAAATCCATTAAATATAACCGGATCAAAATCCTTGTTAGTCAGCTCTCGGCTTACACTCATTCATTACCCAAATTGCCAACTCACCAAACCCGTGATAACTTAGAGTCCAGAAGAAATTGCGGCCATGATAGTGGTGTTAAACTAGGGAATTGCCATGGAAGATGAAACCAATGTTGAAATGCAACGCCTATCTGGGCCATCTACTATACATCCAATCCCAAGCCCCTAGCCAAGCTTTGATCCACCTCTGCCAATTTAAGATTTGTAAGATCCGGATCCTCGAGTAGGGTTGGCTCAAGCTCGAGTTTTTAGACCCCTGGTGCAACCTAATGAGGGGCTTTATCCTTTTGATACTAATGATCTCGATCCGACCTTAGTAAAAATTGCTAATCTTGAGAAGCAATTCAAAAAGGCACAGGGCCTTAATTCTATTTCTGACATTGAGAATGGGTACACCAAGGCTACCGTAAGACTCCCAAACAGATTCAAAATGCCACACATTGATCGTTTCGACGAGTCTGGAGATCCTATGGTACATATCTAGCTTTTCTTGGACGTCCTGAAACCAATGGGTCTGACTAAGCCTCAGAAACTCTCTCTGTATGGAAGAACCCTGTCGGGCATAGCAACCACTTGGTACACCAAGTTGGAGGATAAAGTGAAGCAGAACTGGGAAGAATTGGCTGAGGCATTTGTCAATCAGTATTCTTACAATGCCCAAATTGAAATGACCACACAAGAGCTTGATTCAACCTAGCAAAATCCTACAGAACCTTTTGTGGAATTTGTTGCAAGGTGGAGAGTAAAGACAGCACAAATGACAGATTGCCCTTCTGAGAGGGACCAAGTGTGGATAGTGGTGCAGAACCTTGAGCCTGATATGTTACAGAAGTTAATAGTTGCTCCACTATTCACTTTCAAAAATTTACATGAATTAGGGGTTCAGATTGAGAGTGCCTTTAACAAAGGGATTATTCCCAGAACAAGTGAACCAACAAAGAGGGTGTTTTCCGGGAGCACTATTCCCAAACCCACTGAAATCAATACGATTGCTGCCACTCCCAAAACTGCCGACCCGTTTGCCAATACAAGCCCACAAATAGCCAGCCCAACCCAAGCTCAAGGCAGAACTTTCAGCCTCCTCTATATCAGCCTAACCAGCGCACTAAAAATCCTAATGGAAAGGGTATCTCAAACCCCTCAATCCCCAACCTCTTCCTGATCCACTCCCTGCTAGACATAACCCCACTAAGTATTGTGCATACTATCAGTAACGCAGTCAAGGCACCGATCGTTGCTACCACCTTCGTCATGAGGTTCAAAATCTCATTAACAACCAGACAATAGCTCCACCTCAGGATCCCAATGTTACCACCAACCCACTTCCCATCCATGACCAAGTATTTCCTCCCCACCTTAATCTTATCCATACACTACTTCCTACCTTCAACCCCAACATAAACATCACCCCGGCCCATTTGCCCAAGCCTGAAGTGTTCATTCTAGAAAGTACTGATTGTACATAATGGATGCACCCAATCTGGTCTGGGTACGCCAAGGGCGCCAAATGGGTGAACCTACAACTGTTGAGATGTTGGGAATGATTGAAAACCTTCAAGGAACGGTGGCAAATTTAACATTTGTGGTTTCGATCCCGTTAAAAAACTCCCAAATCTTGGGCGAGCTGCAGTTAAAAAGGGCCAACCCGAAGCTATCTCAAGTCTGGGTAATGACAGATCAACAACAAATGGGTCTCGCTTCGATATAGCCACCCAATCCCTTGGCCAAGCAAAACCAAGTGGCAAGAACAAAGCCGGGACAAGTATTGATCCCTATGCACAACTTCGGTGGGCTATTAAGACTTTGAAGGTCAAAGGGTTGAACAACCAGCAAGTGCTTGAAGTTGTTGCAAAGACTGTGGATAACACTTTTGTCGCTCAGGATGAGAGTATTTTGAATCAGGGGGCAAATAATGAAAAATGATGTTTTACTAGAAACAACCATCCTGATTCTAGTCCTAAGCCCATGAATACTCGACCAACACCCGTCAACCCATTTGCCAATATTTCTAAACCTAGTGTTCCTTGCTCCCAAAACGAACCTTCGCCCAACTCCATATGAGCTTAACCTGTGCATTGAAGGTACTGATGGAAAAATGGTATCTTAAACCACTCAATCCTTAACATCTCCCTAATCCTCTCCCACCTAAACACGACTTTACCCAATACTGTACATTCCATCAGCAGTACGGTCACCATACTAACCGTTGCTTTCACCTTCGCCATGAAATTCCATACTTGATTGACAATAAGGTCATCACCCTACTTGAAAATTCCAAAGCTGTCAATAACCCTTTCCCTGACCGCAATAGATTGCCATTCCACAACAAAAAACCCACCCATAGTTTGCCAACAACCAACCATTACCCTAGCCAACACATCATACCCGCCAATGAGCTCAAACCCATTGTGTTCATTCCTGAATCTTCTGATTCCAATCTG